CCCTCCCTCCTTGTCTCCTCCCCTCCTTGCCTCCGTCACTCCTCCCTCCTTCCCTCCTTTCCTCCCTCTTTCTCTCCTCACCTCCTCCTCTCCTCCATCCTCATCTCCTTCCCTCCTCTCCTCCCCTCCTCTCCTCCCTCCTCTCCTCCTCGGCTCCTTCTTTCCTTCCCTCCTTTTCTCCCTCCTCATCTCCTTCCCTCCTTCCTCCTTTTCTCCTCACCTCTTCCTCTCCTCCCTCCTCGCCTCCTTCCCCTCCTCCCTCCTTCCCTCCTCGCCTCCTTGCCTCCTTGTGTCCTCAGCAGTCAGACTGTCGCACTGCTGTATCGCTCCTCCCTCGCCTCCTTCTCTCCTCTCTGCTCACCTCCTTGCCTCCTTTTCTCATCGCCTCCTTCCCTCCTTGCTTCCTTGTGTCCTCAGCAGTCGGACCGTAGCGCTGCCGTATCACTCCTCCCACCCTCCCTCCTTCCCTCCTTCTCTCCTCCTTCCCTCCTTGCCTCCTTCCTTCCTTCTCTCCTCCCTCCCTCCTTCCCTCCTTCTCTCCTTCTCTCCTTCCCTCCTCGCCTCCTTCCCTCCTTGTGTCCTCAGCAGTCGGACAGTAGCGCTGCCGTATCACTCCTCCCTCCCTCCTTTCCTCCTTCTCTCCTCCTTCTCTCCTCCCTCCCTCCTTCTCTCCTCGCCTCCTTCCCTCCTTCTCTCCTTCCCTCCTCGCCTCCTTCCCTCCTCACCTCCTTCCCTCCTTCTATCCTCCCTCCCTCCTTCCCTCCTTCTCGCCTTCTCTCCTTCTCTCCTCCCTCCCTCCTTCTCTCCTCACCTCCTTCCCTCCTCGCCTCCTTCCCTCCTTCCCTCCTTCTCTCCTCCCTCCCTCCTTCCCTCCTCGCCTCCTTCCCTCCTTCTCTCCTCCCTCCCTCCTTCCCTCCTTCTCTTCTTCTCTCCTTCCCTCCTCGCCTCCTTCCCTCCTTGCCTCCTTGTGTCCTCAGCAGTCGGGCCATAGCGTTGCCGTATCACTCCTCCCTCCCTCCTTCCCTCCTTCTCTCCTCCTTCCCTCCTTCCCTCCTTCTCTCCTCCTTCCGTCCTTCTCTCCTCCCTCCCTCCTTCCCTCCTTCTCTCCTCCCTCCCTCCTTCCCTCCTTCTCTCCTTCTCTCCTTCTCTCCTTCCCTCCTCGCCTCCTTCCCTCCTTGCCTCCTTGTGTCCTCAGCAGTCGGAC